GGTGAAGTGATTATTGGAGAAGAGGAGATTCTCATGCTGTATCCAGTTTAAATGCCATCTGTCTTGGGATTGGGGTAAGCTTTTTCACCGGCTCCAAATAGTTAGGGGAAAGGGTCAGCCATTCTCAAAGCAGGAGGCATCTCAACACCCCTCTTCTCATTAGCAAGGATGTGGTGCCTCCTGCATCACTGATCTGGGTCTCCGCTCACGTCCTGCCCACGCAGAGTGTCCTCTCTCCATCTCTGCAGCTCAACTCCTGTCTACAGCTCTTGGGACCGTACTTTCAGGGAGCAGAACGCGGGGCACAGCAGCGAGAGGAGACATCTGTTTTCCTGCTGGTTGTAGGGGAAGTAGCTGAGACACTGAATCATTGTCATTTCATAATTGATAGGCACAACTATTAAAATGCAGATGTTAATGCTTAGAATAGTTTAATAGTTCTAATAATCCTTGAGAACGTGGTCACCATCCTCACCTAGAGAGCCGTGCGTCCGACGCCCAGCCTGAGAGAAGACGCCCCCTTGTCAGCTCACATTCTGGGCTCTCACATCCTTGATTTTGGACACTGAGCATTAGGGGTTAAACATCTTACTAAACAGACCCAAGAAAAGGAGAGGGAGTTGGAGGGCCCACAGTAAATCTGAACACTGGAAATAAGTAATGCGCGAGAGCAGGTTTTATTCGCCTGGTGATAAATGCATCCGTCCTCTGTTCCCCGTCTGGTCCCTCAGTCCGCAGGCCCGGGCCCTGACGAGGGGCAGCGCGGGCAGGAGCGAGGACTTGTTTCACTCACCGGCTCCTCACTCAGCTGAAGGCAGTTTGAGATAGGCCTCGTGTCCTGCCCTGCTTTATGTGTCACTGACAGAGCATCGCACACCTCGTGGGTAACTCTACGTTTCCAGAACGAACGCTCGCGCTTAGGGATTCCTGAGCTTGCACAGCAGCGTGAGAGCAGCTGGGCAGTCTGCTGAGCCGTGGAGGCTTGTGAGCCTGATAACTCTGCTCAAGACCCTAATCTGAGTAAGAGCTAAAAAAAGTTCTTCTTGCCTGGTGAGGAAATCTTTGTAGGTGAATATCTATCCTTTGAAGAATATCATTCTTGTGTTCAACTGACTTAGTCACAGCCGGTGTTACTGGATTGACAGCACTGCCCTGGGAGCCTCTGCAGGGGAGCATCACGCTCTCTGCCCCAGCAGTGACCCCTTGCTTTAAAATGGCTTCTGGGAGCAGGGAGCCGGGAGCAGTGTTTGGACTTGTTACTATCATATAATCATGCTTTGCATAAAGTAAATCCAATCCTAGAGAAATAAGCAATGAAAAATGACTCTTGTTAAATCTTCTGCTGTTTTTTTTATTTCACTAGCAGAGATAATTACACAGGAAACTAGAAAAACAAGCTCACTGACACTGAGCAAACAGTGCTTTCCACTGAGGTTCCTGAACTCCCTAATGAGCCAAATAAGTGGGAGGCAGAGCCATGGCACACACAGGCCCCTGCAGTGACAGAGCCTGGCTCATACTATTAAGCACCTAAACCTGACTTACTAATAGAAAATACTCAGTTAGATTAAAACAAGGATGTGACAAGAAGTTAAAAGATGATGTTTCCTGAACCAAGATACCTAAGCAAGGTCACCTGTCCCTCCTGAGGCTGAACGTGTAAGCCTACTGTCACCCAAGTGTGGTCCAGGAGCCCCGAGGAGCCCCCGTCAGGGAGGTTTACTGGGCTCAGTGAGGGTCCTCTCTTGTGCTGCAGATCAGCACTCAGCCCAGGATTCAAAGTGACCCCCCCCCTTATCTCTCTCTCTGTACACACCCCTCCTCCCTGGTCCCCTGGTCCACACATTCCAGGTGCTTCAGGATCCCCAACCCTGCCTGTCTCAGTCCAGCAGTGCCTCAGCTCGGCTCTTTTTGGTGACTCCCTCCTGCACTGGTGCCTAGAACCCGCCTCTGCAAAGCAAAGTGCGCGATGTCAGGGCTCACATCGTCTATTTTCCATATCTCTGTGCTTCTGTCTGAAGTCCAATGTCCAAAAATGCTTTCATTGATTTTGTCCAGCTTTCTAGTTAGAAGGTGAACTCTGTCTTTACCAGTGATAAAGAACTCATAGTAATGAATCTTCATTGTATTGTACAAATATGTCATCAGTCCATGATTTTGGAGGGAAGATCCTGATCATCCAACCACAGATTACTTGAGAACTGCAGGAGGTCGTGTTTCCTCCATGACACGTGGACTGAGTCTTGCAGGATGAGCAGAGCTAATTCAGGTGAAGGACAAGAACAGAGCAGTGAGCGCTTTCTAGGCCGAGGGACCCTTCTCTGACCCATGAGATCCACGGAGACACATGCAAGGAAGGGTCCCCAGGCTATTCCACTTGAAGTTGTGTCGGGGATTGCTGGGGAAGCTACAGATACCTGTACCACACCTAAATGTTGGAAGTAATAACTGAATATTTCTCCAAGCATACTTGTGTTTAGGGTTCTTACCTCTGAGTCCTGTCTCATCCCCCTTTATCATCTCTCCAGCTATTATGAGGAGGAGGAGGTCAGACCTGGCTGTGGTGCAGTTTGTCGGAGGACCACCAGGGGGCGGGCTTCCTTCAGACGTGGTTCATGTTCGCCTTTAGGCGCTGGTTTGACTTGCTTGCCTCTGCAGCCACAAGACACATGACTTGCTGTGCAGAAAGGGGCTCTTGGTTCCTGAGTGAGGAGTTTCTGTGGCATCCAGCTGGAGACTAGAGCTATTAGATTTGCTGTATTCCGGGGAGCAAGGATCATTTTCTTCTGCCAACATGCTTTCTGCCCCTCACCCTGTTCTTCTCATCTTCTTACTATTCAGTAAGTAACATTTCATCCTAGACGTCAATGCTTGCTTTTAGTTTTCCTCTCTGGCAGGAAACCCTCCTCCTGTGCATTTCTAACATAACAAAGTAATTCTCTTTTAGGGGGAACCAGTGGAGACTCAGTGACCCAGACTGAAGTCCCAGTCACTCTCCCAGAGGAGGCGTCTATGTTCCTGAACTGCATCTATCAGACTGCTGATTCAAATCCCTACCTTTTCTGGTATGTGCAGTACGTCAACAGAGCTCCTCAGCTCCTCCTGAAGGGCTCAACTGGAAACCCGAGGCCTGAGCATCAGGGTTTTCAGGCCACTCTTGTTAAAAGTAACAGGACCTTCCACCTGCAGAAACCATCCGTGCAGACGTCAGACTCGGCCGTGTACTACTGTGCTCTGAGTGACACAGTGAGAGGGGCTGCAGGAGGAGCTGAGCACAAACCCAAGGCGCAGGTGGGCGGCAGTGAGTGGCCTTGGGAGGAAGAGTTACATTCTCCCCATGGGTAGTTTTGTGTTTATTTAGAGGTATTCAGGAAAATGAACGAAGCTCAGTTCTATGTCCTAGAAACCTAGGAGGTGGGGGATTGCTCTCAGATTGGGTAGGTTGGAAGTCAGCGTTAGAGGGGACCTAAGCTCTGATACCCAGAAGTGCGTGTGCTCAGCTGAAAAGCCTCCAGATTGAATTTAAATAAATTGTTTTCTCAGAATGTAACATGGATGTTAGAAATCCTTCATATATTAACCTATGGAAGCAAAAAGAAACAGATGATTAAAAGGTGCATCAGCTGAATCACAATCGGAAATCAGCACATGGCTGCCAGGCACGTCAGACACCCACGTCCATGCGGCTGAGACCTACAGCTGTTGAGCTGCTGCTCTCAGTGAGCGCCTTTGCGCCAGAGCTGCCGCAGTGGGCTGAAGAGGCATTTGCAATTTTCTAATGGCTACACTTTTGATATAAGGGAGTAAGAATGCAGGGTCTGGCGACATTATACTCATTTTGACTATAGGGTGCAATAGCTGAAACCAAGATTTTTCTAGCACAGACTTACTGCTGACTGCTGTCAGACATGTGCAGCCAGACAAATGTTGTCAATCAGCAAAGTTGCTTTGATAGTATTAAGCAGACACAGACCTTTTTATCCAGTGTAAGTCTCCCCAGAAACCAGTGCCTTGGAATGTAGGAAGAAAAGTTACGATGATTGATAGTGAACAGTTTTATCTTACTGCCTGGAAGATAATAAATCTGTGAGCTTAAATCATAGTAGATTTTGGCTGCAGATTAAAAAAAAAAAGCATACAGAATCCTGGGTGGCCATTTGTTCTCAAAAGTCGCCATAATCATAATAAATTGTATGTGTCATGTAACTTTAAGTCCACCTTAGATCCCCTGGCTGCATATGGCAAAAGGTAGATTGCAGCTCTGACATATCTGTTGTCAGTCTAATTACAATAAGTCTAAACAGGTAGGTTAGAATAATCAACCGTGTCAACACGCTATGCCATGACACAGGCAACCGGAGATCAGCAATTTTCATTTCCTGTTCCGGTGCACAGCATCTCACAGCTCAGTGACCGGGCACGTGCCCTGTCAGACACAGGCCAGGCACTTAGACCTGAATCTGGGAGAGAACACAGCCCATTTCCCTCAGAGGCAGAGCTTCCGACATGCGGTTCCCTGGGCTGCTGAGAGTCGTCATAGCGTCCGTCTGGCTTGGTAAGGCTGGTGAGGCTGGTGAGGCTGGTGAGGCTGGTGAGGCTGGTGAGGCTGGTAAGGCTGGTGAGGCTGGTAAGGCTGGTGAGGCTGGTGAGGCTGGTGAGGCTGGTGAGGCTGGTAAGGCTGGCCGCGGGCGGTCTCAGGCTCCTCTCAGCTCCCACGCCGGGCGCAGGGCAGCTCACTGTTTCTGGTGGGGTCTAGGGGAGCTGAGTAGTGGGATTGGTGGTGGATTCAGAACTCTTAGTCCTACATCTGCTCCATACAGTCTGCTGGGTACCATCAGGAGAATCAACTGAATTCCTTCTCTCTCTCTCTCTATATATATGTATATTTTTCCCTTTGTCTTTGTGCTTAATGTTATCAAAGCAACTTTCCTGGTTGACATTTGTCCAGCTGCACACGTCTAACAGCAATCAATAGTAAGTTTGTGCTAGAAAAATCTTGCTTTCAAATATTGCACCCTGTAGTCTCTCTCTCTGTCTCTCTCTCTATATATATATGTATGCATGCAATACATGTATATGTATATATAAATTTTTTTCCCCTCCAGGATCTGTCAAAGCCCAGAAGGTAACTCAAGACCAGCCAGCAATTTCTAG